GATTCTATATATTTTATTTAATAATTTTATTGTGTTAGTTGAAAGAAAATGTTAACGACTAGCTAAACATTTATGATTAATACGCATACCGTGAAAAACATTGCAAATTATTTAATGAAGGACTTTGATATGTTTGATATAAAAACATCTCGTTATTTTCTCCATTTACATCAAGACCTGGAAATAAAGAGATTAAATTCTTTATGGCCAGCGAGACGAGAGTGAGACGTAAAACACGGTCATCGAGGGGTTAAAGGCGGAGCATTTTAAATCGGCTTAACGGGTCAATGAAGTCGGAAAGCATGATCCGGGGAAACGAGGTCAAGGGATGAATCGGAAAGAAAAAGGGATCGCTGGCGAGTCGAGGGTGTATTTGTTCGAGGTATTTAATTCTAGAATAAATCTTCGTTTTTCTCTCGTTTTCATCCTCTTCTTTCCTCTTTCGAGGGAGAAGAGCAATTATTCGGGAAGGAATGGCTGACCATGTCGGTCGTCATAATTCCACTCGAGATGGCGAGAGTTAGCGTATCCTGGAATTTCGCAGACCCTCTCTCGTAAACGGAATCGGAAGTTATTGCGATAATACGCGTACGTTGCGTCATAATCGTAAACTTAGAACGAGTTGAACCATGCTCATAAAATTTTTATCGGTTAACGCGTAGTGAGGTAGCTCTATACTTTTTGTTTTCACAGCGTTTCGATAAATGTTATTAAAGGTGCAAGACGTAAAAGCACGATCCTGTTCTTTATAGCTCAAGGTTAGTTAAATATTAATTTTTTAATTCCATCTTTCCTATTTTCCCTATAATAAAATTTGCGTGTTAAATTGATAGTCAATTCATTGTTGCCTCTTTTCCACGATTTTCATTGGTTTTCTCTCTTTGTGTTCACTTCGTACTGCGAGGAGTCTTCCTTATAATAAAATTTGCGTGTTAAATTGATAGTCAGTTCATTGTTACTTCTTTTCCACGATTCTGATTGGTTCTCTCTCTTTGTTCATTTCATACTGAGAGTAAGCTGTCAGCTGAAAAAATGTTTTGACAGTTCACAAAGGTTAGATTAATTGATCTGTATGCTTGTGTGCTTGTATATTTGTATAGTTTTTATGTAAGTATATAATATTAAAAAATGGAATGATATAATATACAATATTCATGTTATTTGAGTTTCCTATAATAAGCCTAAGTTTAAGTCTTGTCATAAGAAATTGATCAATTATAGAATATTGATTATTCTTATCACATTCGACTTGGATTGGTCACTTTCTTACAGGTAGACTTAGATTTAGGTAATGATTTATTGTAGAAAGCCCATTATATTTCTGATCCGAAACTCGCAGTTTTCCACACACACAACACACACACACACACACACACACAATTTAGGATAACTAAATAAAATTCAAGATTCAGTCGAAAACGGGCGAAGCGATTTGGATCAGGTTTTGAACTAATCGCACCGATTGAGACAAGTTCGCGATGTCATGAACGATTTCGTTAGTCTTGCTGGAGGCTAAGCGAGAGGTAGAGACGCTTGCGGTGTCGTGGCCGTCGTTTAAGCCGCGGCTTAACTCGGCTTAAGGCATTATTCTCCGTCTCTCTCGCCTTTTGCTCGGGCTCTCCTCTCTGTACTTCCGCCACGTTCCGCCCTGCTGCGCGGCTTTTAATCGAGCGCCAGCGGATTATCTCGACATCGAATCTACGGTCAACCTGCAAACCACCGGCAAACTCTGGACCTTTGTGCGTCATTCTATCCCCGCGACTCAGGTGCCCCGTTTCACGAACTCGCCAGCGTCTAGGCAAGCGCATCCGCTTTCTCCCTTTGACGTGAGGTCAATCGATGTAATAATGACAGATAAATTCGCATGAACGTGATATCTTGTTGCGATAAAAACAGAATTATCAAACGAAATGATAGTTCGTTGTCACAATATATCATGCTTGTAATTATTACAGCTTGATCTTGTGACACGGAAATAGATAATTTTATCTGTTTATATAATAATATTAATCATAGCTACTATAATTAGCATGCTTTATAATCGATTGTAATATCATTTAAATTAATTAATATTGTATATTTAACATGTGCGCTCATGAACAGTGAATATATCCTCATTATCGAGAATCGCGCGTTAGGTCAACCGTAAATGATATTCCCGTAGGAAACGTTTTAAGCGCCGGGATCGCGGATATCGCTGATGATCGATCATTTCCCGTCGCGAGTCGTGATATTTATAGAGACTGGTTACCTCGCGTATGCCACATAATTTTACCACTCTCGCGTCAAAGAGAAAAAGAGAGGAAAAGACCGGGCGCCATTTGTTGCGGATCTTATCGGGCGGCAACGGGTGGACTCTTCGTTTTAAAACGACTCGAGCATAAATGCGGCCTCGAAATCGCTCCGGAACTCGCCTTGAACCCTCGAAACGCGCATCCACTGCTTTAGCACCGGATATTTATTACCTCACGGTGTAGCCTTATCGAGTGGCCTCGCCATGCTTGAAATCGTGAGAATTCCAACCAAACCGTCTCTCCGTCACCCGCATGTATACATACACATGATCGTTCTCCTATTCCCCATGCACGTACGAGTGGGATTACGTATGAGAGTGTGTGCCTGGTAACGGGACAGAATGTAATGGAGAACGGGACGGAATGGAGACGGTGGGACGAGACGGGACAAGAGGTGGGCGAGGGGGTCTTTGACTGGCGCGCGAAGGGGACCAGACCAGCCCTTCAGGTTGCTCGGCAAGGGTGCGCGATATTGATTCCTACCTAACATTTACACTGAACGTGAGAGCTCGGTGTTATGTATTTTGCGACTCTAGTCAATAGTACATATATGATTTCGTTGAAGGAAGGAAGTCCCGCTACTTTCCCGAGTCATCTGCGGTAGTGTCCATGAGGATGATTAATTTCACTTGTTTTTGGTACGAGTCATATTATATTGCGCGTATTATAACACGCGTTTCCCGCAAAGCCCTAAATGCGTACAGTATTGTTCTAATCCTATAAAGGGATGCAAACTATTATCATATATTATAGTATAATAGTTCAATTAATATCATATATTATACATGATATAATATGCCAACGAAATTATACGTATAAATTATACGAAGCGCAATATTGCAGCGGCACATAAAGGTAAAAAATTAAAGGATAAACTGCATCAACAAGTAAAGTTGTTTGTTCATGAGGAATGTTACAATTTACCTTTTTCATGTCTTTTGGAAGTTCCATTGATACTTGGATGATTCTTTAATTCTTCATCAGTCAATGATTTAACAATTGTACGAGCGAGATTACAGTTATGCGTTGCTTTGAGTGTCACGGTTAAGCGATATTCGAGTGGAACCCGATCTTCGCATTGATATCCGCGATTATTCGTGCTTCGTTGTCTCGCTCCGTCGCCAGTTATTTCGAGCGCGGTAGTGGAAGTTACAGTGGTGTTGGCGCGTGTCCCAATACGTACGGCTTCCCGCGTTATATACGTTTACAGCTTTCCGATATCTAACTTCTGCGTCCCTTTTTCCACGTCTCAATGAGCCACGACGCGAACGAGCGCTCGCGTACACCGACACCAAACACATATATGCTTACCACCCCTCTTCTCTCTCTCTCTCTCTCTCTCTCTCTCTCTCTCTCTCTCTCTCTCGACCAGCTCGGATCGATAGCGATCTATATTACAGGCGGCTGACTCCTCGAGTGGAGGATGACGGGGGTCTTCGACGTCTCACCGATCGCTGAAGAGGCTATTTGCCTCGCGATGATGGTGATGGTAATAACGGGCGCGCAGTTCTGCGGCTCTATTATGATAACCGAAACTCCTGTGGAACTACTACTGAACGTGATACAGCTCATCCTCTCTCGAAAGTCGTCTCCCTCTCCCCCAAACAAAAAGCGATTATCGGTTATGGTAAAAAGCAAGAATGCGTTAAACATCAAGATTTTTTTTACGTGCTCGATAATAGAGAGCGATATACATTACGACGAATTATTATATGCATCGAGGCATCATAGTTAAACTCATATGTACGAAAAATAGCTAATTTTGATCTCCTCGACAACGTAAGATCTAATTACAGAGTCTCTCTTTTTTTTTTTTATTAATTTTTGAATTCATTAGAGATGAATTTACGTGTGTTCGCGCGATGTCGAATAGTCTGATAGGTTCTCTTGCCAACTTTGCCGTCCCTTCGGCAGGTTGCCACGCAAGATCTTTATCTTTCATAATGCTACGAGATTAATAATACGAGATCGAAGTTGCCTGGTCGAGATCGAGGACGAAGGGAGCGGGAGGGGAATACGTCTGCCTCTTGTAACGGACAAATACAAGACAATGAAGATTAATGCTTCGACCTCATTCTCTCCTCCCCTGCCGGCCGTTCCTGGTCGACGGTATCGTGTGAACATTTCGGTAATCCCCAAGAGAAGTGTCCCTTCGGACTCGACTTTGGGGAACTCCGCGCTCTTATAACCCTGACCCTAAATTTACCATAGTTGACGAATCTTCTCAATGATTCAACGTGAATGATGACTTTGTCTTTGACTAATTCTGAATGTTGATTTCTGAGTAGAATGAATGCGATATTATTGATGTTATATTTAAGCTCAATCAGCCCTAATCGAAATGGCTCGTTGTGAATAATTCCTGTAGATGATTATAGTTCTGCGTAGAAGATAACCTTGTTCATGATCCATCAATTTTGACAATAATTTTCTATTGCGAAACGAGAATGACACAATTTTGTTTATCAATTTACGAAATTTACAAAATAATTTATGAATAATCATCACGGTATAATCGTTTTATATGAGAATAAGACATATTTGCTTCTGAAAAAAATTGATAAGATAAATTTTGACAAAATTGTACACATTCTTATTTAGCTTCTAGTATAGTACTTATCTACATAGATTTAAAGTTATATTGCACAACACGGCTAATTTTCAATCCAACGAAATTTTCAATCCGTAATTGCTTTGTCATTGCAGATTAGCAGTTGGCGTGACATGGATGTGAGCTTCACGAACGTGTTAGAGGGGGCTCGCCAGTACTTCCAGGGACTGCCCGTACCGAGTACAGGTAGTGGCGCGGCCACGTCGGTGGATCACAATCTCCACTCGACATCCTCCACGAATCCCGCCTCGTCCACGTCGGCGACAACGCATGATCATGATGCACCGTCGCAGCCGACACAATCAACTCAGTCAATTTCGACTTCCGCCAATAGCAGCAGCAGCAATAGCAATGTCCAGGAGTCGAATCGTTACCCTGCCGACGTTAGACCTTCGTCGTCCGTGGAGAGTAGCAATGCGACTGCCGGATCTAGCTTCTGGAATCCACACGTGGAGCCATATGCGCCGCAGCCGACTAGGGTCGAAGTCCCGGATACGAGGCCAGGCGACGAAGGCTCCGCCATGGAGCCCAGCTCCTCCTCGGGCACTATCACTTTAACCGAGATGCAGCCTTCGAATTATCAATTCTCCTCCTCCTCCTCCTCCTCCGCTGCCGCATCATCGTCGAATTTTTCGCAGAGACCGCCACTAACGTCATCATCATCGTCGACCACCTCGTCCTCCAGCGATCACAATCATCACCATCATCAATCTCATCTTTCAACGTTGAACTCGTCATCGCATTTGCATCAGATGCAACCACCCCAACCGCCACATTCCCCTGGACCAGTGTACCAGCAACTTAGTAATGTCAGCAGGACGTCCTTCAGTGCGGCAGAGATGCTCGCCTCTTCCTCATCGCATTCTGCTTCAACGTATCAGGCTGCCAATAACGATAGACAATCGCAGCCGATTGTTGCGCAGAGGACTCAGTACTACCCACGCTACCATCATCCAGACATCACGAAATGCGCACCGGCTCCGTATTCGCAGAGTTCTATTTATCAGTCCGCCAATGTAGCGCAGCCTCCGAGTATGGTTCAACAACCGAGCACAAGACCGACGCCAATAGAGCAGAATAATACGACAGCATCACCCAATGTCGTTACTCAAGGACATTGTCCGCCAGAACAGCAACGAATACCTGGTACTTATGGCAACAACATGCCACTTGCTCAGAGTTCTCTCAATGGATCCTCGGTATATGGATCTGGTTCCTCCTCTTCATCCTCTCAGAGTTACCGTCCCACGAACCAGTATCAGCAGCAGGCCCATCGTCTGACCGCTTCCATTTCGAGCGTCAATGACAGGTCTCATAATTCGGATGGGTTGCACTCTTCCACTGCCGCTTGCTCTTCATCGTCGCAGGCGGTCAGTCCGCGTCAGCCTGGACCAGGAAGTTCCTCCTCCAATCACATTCCTTTGCAATCGCAGTCGCAGAATCTTCCGGGTCACATTCCTTCACCGCATCTGCCGTCCGCTGCCACTTCGGTACACTATCATCAGCAGCAGCAACAGCAGCAGCAGCAGCAGCAGCAGCAGCAGCAACAAGAGCCGGCACAGCAGCACAAG